AACAACATGAGGGGAGTAAGCATGTCTCAACAATGAGGAAACCAAGTCAAAGGAAAACTCATTTTTGTCTTGACATGTCCAGTAATGTGGCCAAGGCCGAGGAGCATGGGATCCCATGTAAGGCCATCAAGGCTAGACATGCCGATCATGTGCAACCCACTAGTAAGTTAGAAAATTCAAAATTGATGTATGGGGAGTCATGTCTCATGGAGGAAAAGAGGCATGATGTCTATGGATGGTTTATCTGCTTCAATCCATGGACTTGGCAGTGGGTGTACACCTTTGGCGCATTAGTTGTTGCCAAAAACGATGGAGAGCACTAACTCAGTAACTCTTTGACATATTAAATAAATAAGTATATTATATATTAACAATAAAAAACACTAGCCAACGATGTAAAAAAAAAATAGAAAGAGATATCAAAGTGAAAATTTGAGTCGAGTTGTTAGACTTCAATGTGAAGATCTTGCCGCCAAGAATTTGTAATAGCTTGGAATGCCGAGTCATATATGTCATACCATGCCATGTCGTCTCATTCCAAGTGGCAATAAGTGAGTGGTGGTCGTGGTATGGAGGCATGGAACTTTGGTGCTAAGTTCTTTGTCTTGGGTGCAAGATGTGTCATGCAAAAAAGGGTGACTAAGTAGTGATTGTTCTTAACAAAGCCAAATTTTGGCTAAGGAAAAGTAGATGTTGGTGTGTCGATAAGAAAATCTGTTATGTTGGCTAGTATGGTGGAGTTCAACTACTTAGTCCATAATTCTTATGCATTAAGTAGTTGGGGAACATTTGTTTACACCATAAATTTTTCTTGTACCACACCGACGTGTTACAAGATTAGTAATGAGTTTAATTTGGGCCTTATGGATATTGATTTTAAGCCCAAACCACTAAGTCATTAATGAGCATAGGCATGATCCAACGAGGGACATGTGCCTCTCATAAGAGGACATGCCTTGCCACGAGATTGCACAAAAAAATTCTAAGTCTGGAGAGGGACGTGCCACTTCAACGAGAAGGGCCATGCCTGTCTAGAATCTAGAGTCTTATTCCACTTCAACGAGGAGGGTCATGACCATCTAGAAATCGAGAAGCACGTGCCGCTTCATGAAGAGGGTCATGTCCATCTCAATGTAGAAGTACATGTCATCTTAATGAGAGAGATGACGACATGGCTGACGAATGACTAAGTCTGAGAGGCCCATGTCGCTTCACGAGAATGGGCATGGTCGCGAGACAAGAAGGTAATATTGAAATTTACTAAGCATGAGAAGACGATGTCGTGTCACGGGAAGGGTCACGAAGATGACTGGGATGTCCATGGTCGCGAATGAAGAGGTCATGACGCCTCATGACCAAGACCAAATGACCCAAAATATTATAAGTCTGGGAGGTCCATGCTGCTTCACGAGAAGGGCCATAGACGCGAGACAATAGGCTAAACATGACTGAAAAATATTCTAAGTCTGAGAAGACCATGCAGCCTCACGAGAAGGGCCATGTGCATGATTAAGAGGTCCATGGTCGTGTCATGTGATGACCATGGACGCGAAGCAAGAAGCATTAGACACGATTGAAAATACTAAGTCTTGGAAGGCCATGCCACCTCATGAGAGGGGCCGTGTGCATGATTGAGAGGTCAATGCCACTTCACGAGAGTGGCCATGGACATGAATGAGAAAGGCGTAGTGGTGGAGCATTATATCATTAGTGACTAAGTCCCAGGAGGGTCATGTACATGAGTAAGAGTCCATGGCCATGAGACAAGAGGACCACGACCCCTTTGCAAGACACCACATGCTCATCAAAACACTAGCGTGACATGAGATATAGAACAATAGCATACGAGGCAAGACATACTCCAAGACTCACGACAGTTCCAAGAGAGGCACCCTAGGCGATTGAGTGAGTAACCACCATGTCTGAGGAAGCAGGGAGCAGTTCTTTTTGGAGTTATCCAAGAGGCGGTTTTATACGATAGTTATCTCCCCATGGCTATAAATAGGAAAAAGGATCGATAGAGATAGGGGTTCCCATGAACACACAACTGACACACATGTCAAGTTTATCTTTTTTCTCGATCATGTAGCCATAGACGTAGCTTTTAGTTTGGAGCTCTCACTGAACCTCCATAGAAGTAGGGGTAATTTAACTTAGTTTTCTTTACCAGAAACCATCACGTAAACACCCTCGTTCGAACTGTGTTTGAAGAGGTTTGAGTCATGTCCAGGGGCGGAGCTACACATAGGCACCCCCGAGAATTTCAGAACTTACGTATAAACTATATCGGTATTTGAAAATTTCGTATAGGCTGATGAGTTTGTATAAGAATATTTAATGTGCATAATTGCAACAACAAAGCAAACTGGCCTAGTGGTCGGAATCCTTCTATTGCATCCATCATAATAATGGTTCGAAACCCACAGGTGGCATATTTTAATTTTAATCTCTCATTAACTTTTATTTTGTAATTTCAATATGGTTTCTTAACTCTTTTATTTTCAATATTAAGTTTTATATGGATTCAAATTGATGCTATAATAATATAAAAATTTTATTTTGATTATTTTTAGTTTTAATCTCTCATTAACTTTTATCTTATGGATTCTCAATTTTGTAATTTCAATATGGTTTCTTAATTCTTTTATTTTCAATATTAAGTTTTATATGGATTCAAATTGATGCTATGATGATATTAAAAATTTATTTTGATTATTTTTTTTGAATTTTATTGTCTTTTCGCAGTAACAAAATAAATCCCCTTCGGAACGTCAAATTTTGTCTTCGTCTCTAACTCAAAGAAGAAATGCATTTTATGCACTTTCAACTGCAACCGGTAAATCAATACTAATTTTAGAAGCACATAAATTAATGGAGTCATAAACAAAACATATGGATACGACGTATTCATCTTTTTTAGTTTGTCTACACAAAATAAGTTGTAGTATTGATCTTATTTTGAGTAACTCTAATCATCTAAAATGCTAGTTATAATACTATTAAAAATATTTTTTCCTTAATTTTTATCGTCTATTCGAAGTATTAGAATAAAAAAAATCCAGCCCCACCGAACTTCAAATCCTAGCTCCGCCCCTGGTCATGTCTTAGTAATCGTTGTTCAAAGAAGTCAAGGTGCAATCAATTTATTCAACGCAGATTTTCCTCGCCGAATACAGCGGGCAAACCTACGCGGCTGGACAGCTCGACATGCTAGTGGTCTACCTATAGGCTACAACGCTCCTGGATCATCCTCCTAGCCACGTCATTACTCCTCAGCCTAATGTACATCTTCGCCACCTCTCTACTCCTACTCATCGGCCAGTCCGCGTCCATCTCATGCGCTGCTGGCAACTTCGCCACCTTGATGCTCCCGCAGTCTTCGCCTACGTGCTCAACTAACTGATGACCAAGTTCCTGCAGGCGCAACGTAGGATGGCCTTGATGGCCGGGATCACGGCTGCGGCTTTTTCCCTCCACGCCGGATTCATCTGGTCTGGATGCTCGTGTTGAGGCTCCGGAGGGGGCTCGTCGGCGCCGCGGGGGTGTTGAAAGCTTCGTGGTGGTTCATCGTGGCGTCGAAGTTTGTGTATGTCGGCGGCGGCGGGAGGTGCGAGAGGGCTTGGAGTGGGTTCACGTGGAAGGCGTGGAAGGGATGCGTTAGCTTGGTTTCATTTTTTTAAGTAGCCACCATGGCTACCTCCTATTTGTCCATTTAGATTAAGTAGATCCAATCTGAGGGCCCATTTTGCTCAAGGGTTTTTTCGGAAGGGACCCACACGATCATCTCCTTCCTTACTCGGCCCGAAATCAGAGCAAGATTTCCCTTGCCCCACGCTTCTCTTCTTTATTCATTGTCTTTCCTTATCAACGCAGCTCCCAAAACCCCTTTTTCCCTTTTTCCTTTTGCAAAGAGCAGAAGCTTCTTTGGCGGCAGACCTTAGAGATTCCCGGGGTCGCACTCTCTCCGTCGCCGCGTTCTTTTCTTGGCGCCGTGGTCTCTCTTCGGCGCCGCATTCTCTCTCCGTCGCCGCCGCGTTCTTTCCCTGCCGCCGCGGTCTCTTTCCTGCGTTAGCTTGGTCTCACCGTCGACGCGTTCTCTCCCTGACGCCATGGTCTCTCTCCGGCTCCGCATTCAATCTCCGTCGCCGCCGTCGTTCCTTTCTGGCTAGGGTTCCCAGAGACTGGTTCTTTATTAGTTGGTGGGTAAACGAGCTTTTTCGGCGTCTCCCTACCCTGTTTTTAGAGTTCCTGTTCATTCCACTCCGACGGTGCACCGTCGACATTCATTTTAGCTGCTCCGCCATCCATTTTTGTTGTCAGAACGTCTCGGTTGTGAGCTACTGTTCAGAGGTTGGTCTCCCGCCAGAACCCTAATCTTCAAATTTAAACGTATTGTGGATTTGGTTTTGTTTTGAATGGTATTCTTTTTGTTTTTGTATCTTTTTTGGTAGTGATTTAGTTGTTAGGTTGTTAGCATTGGTAGTGATCTGCATACTTGTGAATCTGTTATGTGTGGTGTGGAATGGTAATGTTCTGTTAGAATGGTAGCTTTCAGGTTGTCGAATGTTTGGTTCATTTCATGCAATGGTACAAAACCTGTTGGAATGGTAGTTTTTTTATGCGGAATGGTATTATTCTGTTGGAATGGTAGTTTTTTTGTTTTTTTTTTTTTTGAATGGTGGTTTCCTTTCATGCATTGGTAGTTTTTTGTTTTTCTGAATGGTAGTTTCCTTTCTTGCATTGGTAGTTTCTGCATATATGTGAATGGTAGTTCTGAAACCGTGCTTTTGTTGATGTGGAATGGTAGTGTTATGCTGGAATGGTGGTTTTCCCTTTTTGAATGGTAGTTCCCTTTCATGCAGTGATAGTTTTCTGCATACATGTCAATCTGGTGTGTGATGTGGATTGGTAGTCTTCATTTGGAATGGTAGTTTTTTTATCCATGCAACGGTTGTGATGCTTTATTAATGTTACTACCTTCCATTTTCCCGATTTTAGGAATGGCAAGAACCAAGAACCCTAATCGTAGGGCTTTAAAACACAAGGAACCTATTACTTACAGCAGTCGTCAGGTTCAAGTTGGAAGGGGGCAAACCTCTGCCCTTGATGAAGCTGTTCTGCAGAAGGATATGGGTAAATCTAAACCACCTGAGAAGAAGTGCAGCCCCGCATTGATTATAACAATTGTCGAGAATGGCATAACAAATGCAAGGATAGAACTAATAAAGAAGCTCGGATTGGATTTTGTATTCCATTTGAAGATGAAAAGGTTTGACAGCGAGCTGCTTAACTGGTTGATTGACCATTTCAATGGTGACACCATGTCGATTCAGATGGCTGATGGATGTCACCTAGTCCTTACAGTTGATGATGTGCAACGGGTTTATGGCCTTCCTCGTGGTCAAAAGGAGGTACCCAATGTCAACATTAATAAGTGTAAGACCCTGCCGGGACAGCTGTTGCAGATTGATTCAAAACAGAAGGGTTGGAACAAGCTTTGGTCCTTGGCAAAAAAGTTACCCAACGTGACAGCGGAAATCTTCTGGATCCGGATGTTTGTAATGTTGGTGTTTGGATACGTGTTGGAATCTACAAGTTCTGCAATTGGTCCAATATCAGTGTTGGCATTCCTTGAAGACAACAGTTTCAGCATCTTCTCTGAGTATGACTGGTGTATGATAACGATGTAATTGCACATGTTTGCGCCCCTAGTTCTTATCCGTTTGAGGAGTATAGTCGTGTGTTTTGGCCTATTTTACGCCGGGTTGTGCTATTTTGTCATGTTTCAGGTCCCAGGTGTCATAGGGAAGGCTAACCACGAGTTCCGGGGCATTCGGAAGTCATTTCGGTGAGCTGGAGCCAAAACACGGGCAGCCTAAGGCATTACATGGCCGTGTACCTGTGGCCGTGCTTTTTATGCCGAGAGCAGAGTTGATTACACGGGCAAGGCCGAGAAAAAGCACGGCCGTGTTCCACCAAAGCACGGCCATGTCCAACGCGAAGCACGGCCGTGTTTAACCCACTTGCTGGCCGTGTAATTAAGCCCTGGCCGAGACACGGGCGGAGTCAGGCAAAGCACGGCCGTGCCCTCGACCGTGCTTTGGCCACTGATGCTTTTAAGCAGATTTTCAGCCACAACTCAGGGGGATTCGAGTTTTTGAGAGATAGAACGACTTCTAGAGAGAGAAAGTGACGAGCAAGAGTTCCCAAGTGCCCTAGATTGATCTTCAACACCATTGGAGGCCAGCTTGAGCTTGGAGAAGTGCCAATCAACATCCAGAAGCAGGAATCCATCCTTCGCAGTATGAATTCCGTGTTTGATTCTGCTTTTGCTTTCTTCTCCATGGAGTAGTTCTCCCATTCATCTGGGTATGGAGAACCCTAGATTTGTATGTTAGGCTTTGATTGTATGAACCCAAGTACTGATTCTGTGATTGATTATATTCAATTGAGGTTTTAATGATTGAATGACTTGAATCCTGATCAAATTCCTGTTGTGTCTGCTTTAACCTAGAATGAGAATATCTGCCTAGGTTGATAGAGTATCCTTGATTGAAGGTAGGGAGTTGGTGACTTTAGTCGAGGAACCAACTCACTATTCTGTACCGGATTTACTCCGGTAGTGGAGGTTTTGTTCTTAGGGCCTCAATCTGTCTACTCCGGTGGAGGTTAGTCGCCCGCTAGAGATTCAGATTGAGAGGGTCTGAAGACCTTTAGTCGAGACTTCAGGCTGTTTAAGAACCTTCCGCAGTATAACTATCATAGAAACTGAACTTGGTAACTACAATCCGGCTTAACTGCAGTCTAGGGGGAACCATATCCGGGTGACCTCTTTAACCTGAATACAACAGTTTACTTGCTTTGTTTGTTTGGTAGTTTAGACTTGCATTCCAGTTTCATTGCTAGATAACAAGATCTCACTGAGTAGTCATCAGATCTAGGACCCGGGTTGATAATTAAACCCAAACCCGCTATACTACGCTTTAGGAAGTGGTTACACTTGGCCAATTCCTAGGGTGACAGTAGAGTCGAGTCAAGTTTTTGGCGCCGTTGCCGGGGATGGCTAGGTTGTTGAAGAAAAGTGATTTCTGTTAATTTAGCTTTTCTTTTTGCTTTGTTTGCTTTGTCCCACTTGTGCCTTCACGGGTTTGCTGTTTGAGTGTGTGCAGGTAGTGCATGACCCGTAGCCAGTCGGGAGGTTTACTGCCGTTGAATCCAGAGATTGACCGCACCTGTCGCCAGCTCAGGAGACAACAGCGAGCTAGACTGGCTACGGAAGAGCGCATAGACGGCCACCTGAGTAGCGATTCTGAAGAAGAGTACAGGATGGACGGAGACTACAATCAACACCAGGGGAATCCTCAGCAGGCTCCCCCGGTGAATCAGGTCCTGGGGAACAACCCCATACCCCAGGATCATGGAGTTCATCATCCACCGCAGCCGGGTCCCACCTTGGAGTACTACTACACTCCACGGATTGCTGACATCCGCCCGGTCATCCTCTACCCGCCTATCCCAGCAAACAACTTCGAGATCAAGCCATGCTGGATTCAGCTCATCACATCCTCTATCCAGTTTCATGGCTTGAAGGATGAGGAGGCCAGGGTACATCTCTCCCGTTTTCTGCAGCTGACGAACGGGTTCAAGCTGAATGGTGTCCCGGATGATGCAATCCGCCTTCATCTCTTCCCCCATTCTCTGGCGGGGAATGCTAAGAGGTGGTTGGAGACCCAGCCCCCATTGTCCATCACCTCTTGGGACGATCTGGCGGACAAGTTCGTGCACCGGTATTATCCAGCATCGAAGACTACAGAGATCCAGCGGGAGATCACTCACTTCCGCCAAGAGCCAGATGAGTCACTTCGTGATGCTTGGGAGCGGTACATGGGATACTTCTGGTAGTGTCCCCATCATGGCTTTAGTGATGCTTTCACTGTGGGGAACTTTTACAGTGCCCTCTCTCCAGATAGCCAGAGGGTGATTGAGTCCTTATGCCTTGGAGGGGATGTTCTCACTAAGACTCCACCAGAGCTGAACCAGATGATTAATACATTTGCTGCCAGAGATCATTCCTGGGGGCAGAGCAGCAGAGGCAGACATTCCAGAGACCGTGGTGTGCACGCCATGGAGTCTAGATCCGGACTCGAGCAGCAGGTAGCTGAGCTGGTGCAGACATTGAAGCAGCCCAACAGTCTTATTCCGGGCAGAGGTATGGCTACACCTTCAGTTGATCAGTGTCAGTGGTGTGAGAGCTCGAGCCACTTGGTAGAAGACTGCCAGGCCATGAGGGTCTACTACCCCCCAGGAGCAGTTGGACTTCATCGCCAATGCTCGGCGCCTCGACCCATACAGCACCACATATAATGAGGGGTGGCGCCAGCATCCCAACTTCTCTTGGGGCAGCAACACCACTAAGCCACCTGGTTTCCCAGCACCAGCAGGTGGCTTTCAGTAGAGGCAGCCCTACCAGGCTCGACAGGGGCCGGTTCCACAGCACCAGCCGTACCAGCCTCGACAAGGGCCAGTTCCACAACAGCAGCCCTACCAGCCTAGGCAAGGGCAACCCTTCCAGTAGCCCCAGCGCCAGTTTGCCGAGCCAGCAGCAGCTCCAGCTCCAGATACGCAGATGACGAAGCTGGAAAATATTCTGGCTTCATTCATGACGAGCACTCAGGCGACTATCACGAGGTTGGACCAGAGTGTAGCCTCACTGGAGGCAGGTCAGAGGAACCAGGGTGCCATTTTGCAGGATCTGCAGACCTAGGTGGGCATCTTGGCCCGCCAGAACACCACCAGGGCACCGGGGACTTTGCTTGCCACCACTGTCCCGAACCCTCGGGATCCTCACCAGCTCCAACAGCTTGATGCCATCACTACTAGGAGTGGCAAGACCACATCAGCTGCTCCTGCCCAGCCCAGTCGAGATGATCCACCACCTGCTTCAACACTTCCAGCTGATACTGCAGACGTGGGGGAAGACACAACAACGCCTTCTCCCAATCCACAGCCAGTGGTTAAGGAGCATGTACCCCAGCTTCCTTTCCCCACTCGCCTGCATAAAGACAGACTGGAGACTGAGTTTGCCAAGTTCATGGCAATGTTGAAGCAGGTCAACATCAGCATGCCGTTCGTGGAGGCACTGTCAAAGATGCCCAAGTATGCCAAATTCATGAAGGACCTCCTCACCAACAAGAAGAAACTTGGGGATCTTTCGACAGTGATGCTGAGCGAGGAGTGTTCTGCCATCCTGCAGAACAAGCTGCCCGAGAAGCGAAAAGACCCAGGGAGTTTCACTATCCCTCTTGTTATTGGCAGCATGCATGTAGGAAAGTCCTTGGCGGACCTAGGCGCTAGCATAAATGTCATGCCTTATAATCTGTTTAAGAAGCTAGGCCTAGGTGAACCTAGAACTACTAGGATGAGCATTCAGTTAGCTGATCGTTCTATCGTGCATCCTAGGGGTATCATTGAGGACTTGCTTGTTAATGTGGGTGCTTTCACATATCCTGTTGACTTTGTTATTTTGGATATAAATGAGGATGTGGATGTACCTTTGATTTTAGGTAGACCGTTTCTCGCCACCGCCAAGGCGCTTATTGATGTGCATAGTGGTAAATTGATTCTGCGTGCTGGTGATGAACAGGCTACTTTTTCTGTGTCTGAGAATGGGAAACACCCTCATTTGCATGATGACATAGATTACTGTGATATGCTTGCTGATTATGAGACCGCACTCGCCATCACGAGTGCGGGTACTGACGATGTTCTTGAGCGTTGTATTTTGCTAGGTGAGCAGGCATCACAGGAGCCGCAGCTGGCGGAGCAGTTGGCCGAGTTGGAGAGTGGCCCCTTCTTGGAGGGAGACAGGCTGTTTAAACCGATCTCATCCTCCACCCGCATCGCTACTTCCTTGGAAGAACCACCAGAGCTGGAGCTTAAGCCCCTCCCTCCTCATTTGGAGTATGCATTTCTCCGGGAGGGGAATAAGCTGCCAGTCATCATCAGCTCGACCCTCACACCCGAACAGAAGACCAGACTGGTGACCTTGCTGAAGCGGTACGAGCGAGCCCTCGCATGGAAGATCACAGACATCCGGTGGATCAGCCCTTCTTTCTGCTCCCACCGGATACTGATGGAGGATGAGATGCGGCCAGTGAGAGAGCCGCAGAGGAGACTGACACCGAACCTCGAGGCTGTGGTTCGGGCAGAGATCGTGAAGCTGCTGGACGCCGGGATCATCTTCGCCATTTCCGACAGCGAGTGGGTCAGTCCCACCCAGGTGGTACCCAAAAAGGGTGGGATGACTGTGGTGCCAAACGAGAAGAATGAGCTGATCCCGATGCGCACGGTGACTGGGTACCGTGTCTGCATTGATTACCGGCGTCTCAACAACGCTACTCGGAAGGACCACTTCCCGCTACCATTCATTGATCAGATGCTGGAGAGACTGGCAGGGCACGAGTTCTACTGTTTCCTGGATGGGATATCCGGGTACTTCCAGATCCCGATTGCACCGGAGGACCAGGCGAAGACCACTTTCACCTGCCCCTTCGGCACCTTTGCTTACCGGAGGATCCCATTCGGGCTATGCAATGCCCCGGCGACTTTTCAGCGATGCATGCTCGCTATCTTTGACCGTCTGGTCGGCAAGATTATGGAGGTATTTATGGACGATTTCTCGGTTTATGGA